CCGTGGTGCCCCCCCCCCAGCCGCTGACGCCCCCTCTCCTGCTGCTGTACAAGGGTTCCGTATCTGTTAGAACGCACCAGGGAGAGTCAGGCACGCCGGCACATGCCTGTGATCCCAGCCCTTGGGAGGCTGAGGTAGGAGGAATCAGAGTTCAGGGCCAGCCTGGGCTACAGAGGGAGTCCTTATCTCAACCCCCCTCATCAAGCAACAAGGTGCCTGCCTTTCCGTCTCGGCTGTCACACCATAAACGCATCCTTCCAGCAGCCTTGTGGTGCTGTGTTTCAGGTTGAACTGTTTATTGGTGATTAATGGATGTGAAATGGCCCAGAGTGGAGAGATGATGTGATTTCTGATGTCCCTGAATGTAGAAAGGCTATGGTGTTTCTTACAGAGAACACGTGTACTAGAGCTGCTGCTTCCGGGATTACAATAATATTTGCCATAAAAGAATAAACCACAGGGGCCAGTGAGATGGCTCAGGGGTAAGAGCACTTGCTGCCAAGCCTACAACCTGAGTTCAATCCCCAGATTCCCACTTAAAGGTAGAAGGAGAGATAGGCCTCATTCACATCCCCCACAATGCAAACACAGTATAGAATTTTAAACAGAAATCAGGCTGGAAAGATGGGTCGGTTAAGAGATCCCTTGTTGCTCTTGCAAGGGATCTGAGTTCAGATCCCCACAGGCACACTGGGCAGCTATGCTTGTAACTCTAGCTCCAGGAGATCCAGTGCTTTCTTAAAATCCTCAAGGACACACACACACACACACACACACACACACACACACACACACACACACAGACTATATTAGCTACTTTTCTGTTGCTGTGGCAACACACCATGGTTCCACAGAGATAGTAGTCCATCAAGACAGGGAGATGTGCAGCAAGCAGCAGGCGTGACACAGGGACAGGAGACAGACCAGACTGCAGACACGTCAGAGACAGACCAGACTGCAGACACGTCAGAGAGAGCAAACAGAGAACAGCACCAAAGCCCGCCTCTGTGGGCATCGCTCCTCAAGCAAGGCCACACTTCCTAAAACTCCCAACAGTGCCATCAGTTAGGAGACAGGTATTCAAAACACCTCACAAACACAAACATACACAAATAAGCCCTTTTTGAAGGGGGTGGTCAGTTGTGTGGCTCCACAGTAGAGAATGTGCTTAGTGAGGGCCTGGGGTGTGGTAGAGAAATAGGTCACTAGCTTAGCAGGTAGGAGACCTTCAGTTCCATTTCTAGAACTGAAAAGAAAGAAAACCATACAAAGTGTCTTTTTAAAGGAACACAAGGGGCTGGGAGATGGCTCAGTTGGGAGAACACTTGACTTGCAAGATGAGGATCCAAGTTGAGTCCCTGTGTAAAAACACTGGGCATTATGACAGGTACTTGTCAAATCCCAGCACTGGGAGCCAGAGACAGGCAAAACCTGTGGCTTGCTGGCTGCTAGCCTATTCTGTTTTGTGAGCATCAAGGCAGTAGAGATCCTGCCTCAGAAATAAAGGTGTGGGCTGGTGAGATGGCTCAGTGAGATGCCACACAAGCGGATAGTGAGTACTGGATTCAGAGTCTCCAAACAGGGCAAACTGGCTGGTTGGACAAGCTGGAATCTGCCAACTCTGGGTTCAGCTGTAGTGGACTGTGATCAAAGAATATATTATTGCCTTTGGGCGTGTGCGCGCGCGCGCGCGCACACACACACACACACACACACAGAGAGAGAGAGCAAAACAGATGTGGTGCCTGAAGGACCGTTACCAAGGCTGTCCTCTAGACTTCACACCCATGTGCACACACATACACACACATACAAAGGAAGCTTGTTATCTTGGCACATGCTTATGATCACAGCTGTCAGGAAATAAGAAGCAGGAGAGTCAGGACCCCAAGTTAGCCTCAACTATGTAGCCATTTCAAGGCTAGCCTGGGCTACATAAGACCCTGGATCATTTCTAAATAACAAGCAAAACCTGCATATGTTAGGACAGGTTAACAGGATTGGGTCCCAGCATTCACTGCAGTCACCATTCTTGGTAACTTGATGGAACATTCCTAATGTTAACAAGGCTGGTGAGATGGCTCAGCGGGTGATGGCGTGTGCTGCCAAGCCCGATGGCCTGAATTTGATCAGCAGAACCCACATGGTGGCAGAAAGGAGCCAACTCCTGCAAACTGCCCTCTGATCTGCACACGTACACCCTACAGCACACTTGAAAGTGTACTTGGGCACACACACGGTCACAGAAAATAAAAATAAAATAAGCAAGAGTGTTGCCTTCATCTCTTCTCATGTTGGGGCTCCACTCTCAATACTGGAAGTCAGGAGTCCAAAACTGATACCTACTGGGTCCAAATCAAGATGTCCCCCAGGGTCATAATCACACTAGATGATCCTAGAGAGTTACTATTTGTTTTTGTTGTTTGGAGGGGAAGCAGTTAGACATCTCACTGTGCATCTCTGGGTGGCCCAGAACTCACTTTTTAAACCAGGCTAGCCATGAACTCAGATTATCTGCTTGCCTTTGCCTCCCAGTGCTGTGATCAAAGGTGTGTGCCATCACTAAGGCTGTCTCTTGCTACTGCTGGCCTCTAGTGGCCGCCTGCATTCCTGTTAGGCTGTATCACTCTTGTAGTATGAGGAGATCCAGCAAGAGAGACAGGGATAGGATTGAATCCCAGACCTCTGCTCTTCATACTGCTTTATAATCCAGTGAGTGGGGATAAGTGTCACCTCAGAGCCAAGAACTAGTGAAGCAGCTGTCACCACAGTGCTGTAATTTTCTTTTGGGCCACCAACCAGCTCCCAAATCAAGACATGGAGACTTATTAGTTATTTCTTGCTAGCTTTTACTTATAACTTAACCTGTTTGTATTCATCTACTTCTTGCCTTGAGGCTTTTAACTTTTCTTGTGTATATCTTACTTTCACTGCTTCTCGTGGCTGGCTGATGCCTGGCTCTGGCCCTGGGAGTGTTTCTTTCTCTTTTCTCTGGAGCTTAGATATCTCCTACTTATTTTCTCTGCCAGCCCTGCCCATCCGTCTCCTGCCTACCTATTGGCCATTCCTTTTTATTAGCCCAATCAGATGCCTTAGGCAGGCAAGGTGAAACAAATGCAACCCAAACACAAGTAACACATCCTTACATCATTAAACAAGTGTGGCATAGACAAAACACACCTTCACATAGTTAAATATTCTGCAGCCTAGTTAAAATAGTATTCCACAACATGGAACTTTAATTGGCCCAAAGGCCCATGGTTAGAAGCTGGGCCATCCATCGGGTACTGTTGGAAGGTGGACACTTTTGAGAGGCTGATCCTAGCAGGAGGCCTTAGGTCATAGGAAGCATGGCCTTTGAGGGCACCGTGGAATGCCAGGCTTTGTGTGCTTCTCTGTGGCCACGAAGGGGGAGATTTGCCCCACCCTCTGCTTCCACCATGGCACATCTCTTTCCACAGGCCTAAACACACAACTCACCACCAACTGAAACCTGGGAGACCATTATCCAAAAGCAACCTCTCTCTTAAAAGTTACCTTATGTATTTTGTTACAGTAACAGAAAATTGACTGCCACCACTGGGAACCACCACAGGGTGAATAAGCATCCAGTCAGAAAATGGCTTATAAGTGTCTCCAGGAAGAAGGAGCATCATGTTTCTTTGAACCAGTAAGGTGACAGGAAGGGTTCTGAAGCACAGCCCATTGCACAGAAAACCATGCCAGGCTTACATTCCTAAAACTGATCAGACAAAGCCCCTGGAGATCACTATACTCTGTGTGTTTAAGGTCAGGTAATTGCTCTAACAGTTTTTCAGGGCACAGGGCACATAAATACATGTTTTGTTAGTATGTGTATGGTGCATATACACATGGGTGCAGGTACCAAGGCTCTTGTGTACACAGAGGCAGGAGGATATCCCTTGGTCTCTGTTTTTAAAACCAAAACTAAATGGCTTGAGATGACTCTGCTATCCTTGCTGCTCTGGCAGAGGACCTGGGTTTGGTTCCCAACACCCATGTGGCAGCTTACAAACATCTGTAACTTCAGCTCCAGGAATGTTGATGCCCTCTTCTGGTCTGTGGTACACATGCATGCAGGCAGGCATTAAGAAAAGAAAACTAAGTTGACAGAGTTTTCCAGAGCCAGCAGCCACTTCTCAAATAACTGACACAGAGGCTTAATATTAATTATAAATACTGGACCAATAGCTAAGGCTTATTACTAGCTAACTCTTACACTTTAAATTAACCCATATTTCTTATGTATGCTTTGCCATGTGGCTCATGGCTTGTTACCCCATCTTATACATGTCCTGCTTCCTCAGCAGCTAGCTGGCATCTGACGCCGCCCTTCCTCATCCCATCATTCGCAATTTGGCTTTGCCACCTAACTTTATCCTGTTCAGCTACTGACCAGTCAGCTTGTTAATTAAACCAATCATAGTGACATATATTCACAGATATGCAGAAGGATTATTCCACAGCACCCAGTCTACAGAGAAAATTCAAAGGCATCCTGGATAACTTAGTGAGAGATTGTCTCAAAATAAAAAGGCTGAACATGTAGCTCAGTGTAGATTGCTGCCTGGAATCCCCCAATGTGGGGCTAGGGACATGCTTCAGCTGTAAAGTGTTTGCCTAACATGAAAGAGGTCCTAAATTCAGTCGACAGCCACACACACCACACCACACACACAGACACACACACCACATACACCACACACACACACACACACACACCACACACACACACCACACACATACACCACATACACACAAGGAAAGGCATTCTTGCTTTTGCTATGAAGCAGAGACTATGGTTCTGATGTGACTTCTGCTGTGTCAGTGAATGGCCTGTGTGTTATGATGGGAGCCATTTTTCCTACTGAAGTTACAGCAATGGCAGTGTGCAAGCCAACTGTTCCCACTGCAGAAGGAAAAGCCCCTGGGAGAAGAGAAACATCCATTATCCATTCTGCACCCTCTCAGTTCATTCCAATCCAGGCTTTGGATTTTTTTTTTTTTGAGTCCTGTGTAGCCCAAGCTGATCTCAAATCCCCCATGTAGCAAAGAATAACCTTGAATTCCTGATCATTCTGCCTCCACTTACCAATAATAAGACTACAGGACTACCATGCCAAGTTTATGGAACAGATGGAACCTAGGGCCTTGTGTTAGGCAAGTACTCTGCCTACCAAGCTCTGGGCCTCTATCCAGTTCTTTGAAAGCGCACCCCCTGTTTCTAAAGGCATGGTGCAGACTTCTTCAGTTCAGGTCTACTTGGAGAGTCTAGATACTCCAACCTGTGGGAGTCAAAATGAGCCTCATCTCCTACATTTGTAATCTTACCAGTTTTGTGCTAAGTTCCTACTCATAGGAACTGTTTCAGGGGGCTGGAGAGATGGCTTAGCAGTTAAGAGCACTGACTGTTCTTCCAGAGGACCCAGGTTCAATTCCACATGGGAGCTCACAACTGCAACTCCAGTTCCAGGGGATTTTATATGTCCTCAACAATGCACATAAATTTAGAAAGGAAACCTGTTTCAACTACACATCAAGAATATATCTCAGCCATAGTGGCACACACCTTTAATCCCAACACTTGGGAGGCAGAGGCAGGTGGATCTCTGTGAGTTCAAGGCCAGCCTGGTCTACAAACAGAGTTCCAGTATAGCCAAAGAAACCCTGTCTTGGAAAACAGAAACAAAGAATAAATCTCTTTGTGGGCTGGGGAGATGGCCTGGTCAGTAGAGCATCCGCTGTGAGAGCATGAGGACCTGAGTTCAGATCCAAAACCTCCACATACAACAACCTGGCAATTTCAGAGATAGATACTGCTGACAGCCAGTTAGCCAAATTGATGAGTTACTCATACATGTGCGTGCAGACACATATGTATATATGAGGCACTGGAGCAATGGCTTAGTGATAAAATTTTGAGGAGCAGAGTGTGGATTCCCAGCACTTACACAAAAGCCAGGCATTGAGGTATTCCTGAGGAAGGGGGACGGGAGGCAGAGCCAGTCAGAAGCTGAAGATTCAGTGAGAGACTCCATCTCAAAAATTAAGATAAGAGAGCGATGTGGCATGGACCTTTGGACTGCAGGCACACGAATAAACATGCACACCTGCACACTCATAGGCCAGAGTAGGGCGTCTGATCCCATGAACTAAAGGCCGTCTGTCAGCCCAACCTTCTGGTCAGGTGGTTGGCATTGTGTCTTGAGACTCCACTCTCCTTACTGTCTGCTCCTCACCTGCGTTCTTCTTGTGCCTGCAGTGGACATCTAGATTGAAGATTAACTCAGAACAAATAAACCATTAGCAGTTTCTAAGATTTCTTCCCACAGAATTGTTTGCCATATAGACTATGAAGTGTGTCTATCAATTCTATTAGCCACGGTTACTTTGGTCTACTCTTGTGTACAACAAACCTGAGAAAATGGCTGAAGACAAGCTAGCCAGGTCCAAGGTCTACTTAGGAAATGTAGTGTCTGAATGTGAGTACTAATTAAGTATTTGAGGCAAATTCTGTGTTTGAATGGTCAAGATGTAAGAGGAAGAATTTTACCCCTTTAAATGGTGGGCTAGTGATCAATGAACTACATTTCCCATACCGCCTGAGGCAGTTTCGCCTGCACTTCCCAGAGGGCTATTCGCCCTTTTGCTCTGTCTCCGAGCATCCGTGGGAAGAGAAAGAGGCGCTGTACTCGTAAGCATTGCTTTAGTAAAATATCGTTTTCTGTCTTTCCTCGTTCCTCTAATATGGACTCACTCGCCGACTTCCGGAGCCCAAATAATCTGGGCATAGTCTCTGGTGTAACGCCAGTCACCAGTTCAACTCCTCGAAGCCGGAAGGTGTGACTGCCGGAGCATTCTGGGAGATGTAGTTCTGATTCTCTTACAAGCTGCAGCTTGTCTTGCTCCGCCTCCTCCCACACCAGAGACGGCGGGTGCGTGAACAGATGGGTGGAAGCTGTGAGGGTTAGTGACAGATCTGCGTAAGAGCACCCTGCGGGCCATCGACGACCGCAGAGTCAATCAATTTCCGGTCGCGAGCCCGGCCCGGTAATCGGCTTGCCGCTGAGAACCCTGGGAAATGTAGTTAGGCACGAGCAGCTGCCGTTAGCTGCGGGTTTGCTGCCGGCACCGCGGCGCCTCGGCTGTTCGCGGCTCCGATCGACTTCCCACGGTGAGGATTTTCAGACGGGAAAGCAGGACCAGGCCCGGGGTTGGATGCGCAGGAAACCGGGCCTGAGCCGGCGTCGTGCTTGCCTCCTCTCCAGTCTTGAAACCCCCGGTGATGCGCCTCGGGTTCACCGTTCAGGTTCCTTCATTTTGTCCGGAATAGCAAAACGAGTCCTGGTGATGAGAGCGAACCCGAGAAAGGGCCAGAGGGGAGGGAGCGCTTGTTGTGCAACCGTGCGTGAGGACCTGAGTTCGAATCCCCAGCACCCAGTTAAACAAGAAACAAAACAACAACAAACAAGCAAAACAAAAGACCTAGGCATGAACACACCCACCTGTGACGCCCCGCTGTGGGAGGATCGCTGGGGCTTGCGGGCCTCCAGCCTAGCAGAGCCTAGCCTCGCTTCAGGTTCAGAGAAGGACCCCTTTGTCTCTAGGGAATACGATTGCGAGAGATAGTCTCCTCTGGTCCCTGCGGGTGCACACATTCAAAAGCATAACACACACACACAGACACACACACACACACACAACACACACACACACAC